ATTTTTGAAAAGATTGTAAATTTGTGGTTCGTTACAATATGGTGTCATTTATCGGAAAATATTATCGGACCAGTCTCAACAGTTGATTAATATCTACAACTCATTGTATGATATCCAGTAAATCCTACTAATTTGTGTACGTGTGTATCTTGATGAGAAATATGGTTCTCTACAGAGATAAGTGTTTATCATCAGCATATTAAGATTTATTTTTCTGGTTAAATTGAAACCGAATCATTCTCATTTTGTTTTTACTTAATTATTGTAAGTATTTTTGAAAACGATTGTCAGTGGTCTGGAGGCTAGGTGTTCGCTCGCGAGACTGAAGGCTCTAGGTTGACATCTCGTGAGGCGCGATCGTGGATGCGTACTGCTGAGGAGTTCCACAATAGGACGAAATGGTCGTCCAGTGCTTCCATGTTTTAAATAGTGGTCTAACATCGATCACTTCATGATCTCAATCAGATTGTCTATTCATTAGTCTGGACCCTTTGTTTTCCAGTTTTGCAAATAATCCAGTAAAGTATTCAATTATTGATTTGTTTCACCTCATTAGTTCTATATGTTAAGCTCATACAGAATAAAATCATACAACCAAATGTAAGAATGGTTGGTCTATTTTCTTTTTTAGAAAGGCTATAGAGGATTAATTATATTACATTACCAAAAGATTGTTGTAGAAGCGAAATTGTTCGTAGATAATCAAAGAAGATAATCACAACTAGTTACTCGAAAATATGATAGAATTTTTTTCAAAATACTTCACATTTTGTGCCGAGAATTCTTTACTGATCTGGAACATAGTAACTAATTAAATCAAACGAAACGTTTTTCACTAAACGTTTGTAAAAAATCAGTAACCCTTGAATAATCTACTTCCATTTTTTATGGAATAAAAATACAAGCCGATAAAAACGATCTTCTCTTACTTTTGGACGTTTGTCACAATTAAAAGACCCTACTTTGAATTGTTTTAAGTGATCAATTAAATATATATATATATATATATATATATACATATATATATCGTGATGACAAAACCGAGCTATATTGGCTGTAACATATGTTCCTGTAGGTTCTACCATGCCAGGCAGGTCGATTGGTGAACGGTAAGACTAAAAGCAGCAACTCAAGGTCTGAGGGTGAAGTCGTACTGCTGACTGTAGAGAGGTGTGACAGCAGTGAGGTGTTTCCCTCAGACAACCAGCATGACAGCGATGCTGCCTTCCCACAAGGAGGGGTGGGGTTAGAAAGGTTCGACCCTAAAAATGTCACACCTCACCTTACCTCACGGATTTCCGTCTCCGGCGGTAAGGCCCTTTGAAGAACGGAGCTAACACGTCAAAAACCTTCCTCAAAAAGGCCGTGCGCGACTGGCCTCAAGCAGTTGTCCCTTGGGCTCTGCGGTCACGCTCCCAGGTTGTCAGGACCAATACTAATCCAATTTCCTTTTCAGGTTCCTCAAGAAATACCCTTCCACGGTTTGGGCAGCCGGGAAGTGACATCAGCCCTCATACCCGTAACAGCACTCGAGACCAAGTTGGTCACATTCAAATCCTTCCCACACCTCCTAATACCTCTCTTCTCTCCACGACTAACCCTTCTCACGTCCCTTTATCACCTCACACCGCTAGGGAAAACGATTCGAGTACGTGGAACTCGATTCCTGGTCTCCTGAAACCACGCTCTAAACTACACGTAGGAGCTTTTAACGTCCGAACACTGTGCCAAATAGGACAGCAGGCTTCCCTAGCTAGGACTTCAGAATCTCATGTCATCGATGTGTGCCGCGTCTCCGAAACGTGCATACAAGATCCGAGTAGCGTCATTCATTTGACTTCACCATGTCAAAATAAAGAACCGACTCGATTTACGCTTCGTGTATCTGGAAGCCCTGATTCTGCTTCCCATGGCCTCGCCGGCGTAGGTATAGCACTGAGTTTCATAGCAGAACTGGCTCTCTTAGAGTGGATTCCAGTAGACAGCCGTTTGTGCGCTGTCCGACTGAACGGAACAGTAAGAATCCGGAAAGATAGGGACACCCGTCGTTGCCTCTTCGTCGTTTCTGCCTATTCTCCCACTGACTGCAGTTCAGATGATGTAAAAGATGAGTTTTACAGAAAGCTTTCCGACCTTCTCCGAAAAGCTAGGCGCTCTGATGTAGTAATAGTGGCCGGTGACTTTAATGCTCAAGTAGGTAAACTAAGTTATAGGGAAAGACACCTAGGTGGATCTCATGGTGTCGTGGCTCAAAGAACAGATAATGGCGACCGTCTGTTGCAGTTATGCTCAGATAATCGCCTGTTCCTTGCAAATACTAACTTTAAGCATAAGGAAAGACATCTTTTAACATGGCGACCCCTTAATTCGTCCCAACGTTGGACCCAACTAGATCACATCGCTATCAGCCACCGATGAAGGGGCTCGATAGAAGACTGTCGCTCATTCTGGAGCACATGCTTAGATTTAGAGCATGCTCTAGTACGAGCGCATATCTGTCTGCGTCTTACTGGACGTAGGAAAGACGCTGCAAGGAAACCTCTTAGGGGCCTACTTAATGATAGTCAAGCTAAGAGTATATTTCAGGAACAACTAGGAAAACAGTTAGGCAGCCAGGTATGTGATGCCCACCCCGATGCAGCTTGGAATGATATCCAAAAAGCTGTGAAAACAGCAGTGATATCTGCTAGTAAGGTAAGTCAGAAGGTTAGGGAGCAACACTGGATCTCAGCAGCATCTATCGCACTGATAGATGCTCGGAAACTCATTTCACCTGGCTCTGAACATAGTGAAGATCGGAGTCAGCTTAAGCGCAAGCTGACAAGAAGTCTACACAATGATCGTGAACAGTGGTGAGTAGCGAAAACAAGAGAGATGGAGAAGGCAGCGGCAATAGGTAATAGCAGACAATTGTTCAGACTCGTTAAGGAAACCGGAATTAGGAACCCGACCGTTAGCGAAATAATCTCAGGGAAAGACGGACATATTATTCATTCCCAATCCAGAAGATTGGATCGATGGGCAGAACACTTCAGGGATCAGTTTAACTGACTTTCAGCCACACTTCGGTTTCCCACGATCTCTAGTCAACCTGAATGGCAAGTTAATGTAGGTCCTCCGTCTCTTTACGAAGTTGAAAAAGTCATAGGAAATCTGAAACGAGGGAGAGCAGCAGGCCCTGACAGATTTACTCTTGAGATTTTTAAGGATGGTGGTTCAGTATTAGCAGTGAGATTAACCGAGGTCTTAGGTAGAATTTTGGAACTGGACGTAATTCCATCTGGCTGGTCTCAATCACTGATTGTGCCAGTTTTTAAGAAAGGACAAAAGTCCTCTTGTGACAATCATAGAGGAATCAGTTTGACTGACACAGTGTCCAAAATATTAGCCTCAATAATAATTCGAAGCCTAATCAAAGCTCGTGAAGAGCAGATTAGAGAAAACCAGGCCGGTTATCGACTTGGATGTGGTTGTATAGATCAGATATTCACACTACGTCAGGTTCTAGAACACAGACACACATTCAGACGCCCCACAATGGTAGTATTTCTCGACCCTAAGGCGGCATTCGACTCTGTTGATCGTAAGGTTCTATGGCATTGTTTGTCACTGAAAGGAGTACCAAAGAAGTACATTAACCTTATAAAGGCTCTCTACTCGAACACAACTGGTAGAGTGAGAGCTTATGGCGAACTGTCATCAGAATTGATTACCTCAAGTGGTGTTCGTCAGGGCTGTCCACTCTCTCCATTCTTGTTCAACTTTGTGATTGACGTACTTTTAAAGATAACACTCTCCTCATCTAAATTTCCAGGGGTTGAACTTCTACCGGGAGGTTCACTTGTTGACTTAGAATATGCTGATGACATAGTTTTATTTGGCGAAGACGCTGACAAAGTGCAGAGTCTTCTGACCACTCTAAGCAACAATGCAAGCATGTTCGGGATGTGATTCTCTCCCTCGAAATGCAAAATGTTGCTTCAGGATTGGGTTACATCGACACCCGAACTAGTGATAGGGAGTGAAGTAGTTGAGTGTGTCGACCGCTTCACTTATCTTGGAAGTCTCATCAGCCCTTGTGGTTTGGTGTGTGACGAAATCTCAGCACGGATACAGAAGGCTCGATTAGCTTTTGCCAACTTGCGTCATTTATGGAGTAGGCGAGATATCCGTCTATCAACCAAAGGACGTGTTTACTGCGCAGCAGTACGTTTCGTCCTACTTTATGGCAGTGAAACATGGTCGGTAAGAGTAGAGGATATTCGTAGGTTACTAGTATTCGATCATAGGTGTCTTCGAAACATTGCTCGTATATTATGGGACCATCGAGTAAGTAATGCAGTTGTTAGGAAACGGGTACTAGGTAAGGATGGCAAATCAATTGATGAAGTGATGAAACTTCATCAGTTGAGATGGCTGAGACACGTGTTACGTATGCCCAACCACCGACTGCCTCGACGTGCGATGTTCAGTGGTATAAGAGTAGGTTGGAAGAAAGCTAGGGGCGGCAGACCAAAACATGGCACAAGTCCATGAAGTCACTGACAAGTGGTCTGAGTCATGTTGGTAGGTGTAGACTACGTGGTTTGGGACCGCGAGATGATAGCAACCGACGGTTAGAGACCCTGAATGACATGGCTCAAAATCGTTTGCAATGGCGCAGGTGCATCCACTCTTTGTGTTCTCCCAAATTCTAATCTTCTGAATTCTTCATGTCTGTTTTTTTCTCTTCCCAAGTTTATTTCACTGTAGTATACTCTTTAAGTAACATCTCCAAACCCTAATCAAAACAAATCCTTGATTGGATTGGTCAATTAGTGCTCAATGATCTTGTATATAATTGGTTAAATTAACTTGCAGCTTACTAGAAATCTTTAGAACTTTTCTTAGATTTAATTGAAATTTTTTAACTAATATTTTGTTGGATTTTTAAAATTATCATTACACTAAAGTCCTTTGACTTAAAATACATGAATTAACTGGTTTCATAAGAAATAACAATGTCAGAAGTTGGATCTACATCAAATGCGTCTATTCATTGTAATGCAAATGATGATGGGAAAAATAGAAGTCGTTATTTTTTACATCATAATGGCCCAGATCATTCTCAAGGACGATCATTGAGTTCCTTCAAGCAGCATATGTCTAGTAGTGCGTTAAGTCATTTAATATCAAATGCTAGTCAAAAACATCTAACTCGACAACATAAAACAACTCATCGATTTAAATACTCCAGTGTTGGTAGTCTTTCACATAATCAAGTACATTTACATAAGGAAAGCAATAATCATTATCAAACTGATGATAGAGTTTTTGAAGTTCTTTTAAAAGGACATGTTTTTGTACGTGCTACTTGTTCATGACTTCGAGATCTGTGCGAATTCTGTCTACATTCAGTTCATGTTCACTCTTATTTGTATTGCAGAAATTGTCCCGTAGTAATTCACAATAAAGATATTTGTCAAGAACATCTTACCAGAGTGTGTCCTGCTCCAGAAATAGGAGTTACAGGATGGGGTGAAGGTAAGAGTTTTCATATTTTAAAATCCTTTTTTTCATAAAGTCATTTTTAAGTAACTTGTTAATTCATTTTGATATTGTTTTCGATAGACTTTTAGCTTATATTTGACTTTGACTCCATATGTTATATTCAAAGAATGAAGCCTTGTTATTCTGTTTCTACTGAGAATGTGAACAATTTTTTAAAATTTAGTACACTCATCTAATCATTTTATTGTTATTTTTTCAACCTACTATAGACGAGTTATTTGTCAGAGTTGTCGAAAATTCATATTCTTAATGTGTTCCTAACTTCCGATAAGGCATAATCATTAACTATCTTTTTCATTCAGACAGAAATGTTCTACGTCTATTGTCAATTCTATCTACCTATCATTAAAATTGGACCTCAAATTGTTGAAAACAAAAAAAACACTGTAGAGAATTTTAAAGGTTATTTGTAACCAAGTGTCATATCCATCTTTGTCAATAAAAACTAATTAATTTCTTACTTAATTTAAATGACTAAATTCATTTGAAATTTGAAATATCCTCATACTGTAAATTTAGAAAAACTAGTGGGAGTTATTCATCGTATTCCCACTAGTTTTCCTTATGGTGTTCGATCTCGTCTCTTACACATAGAGGAAAACGAGCCAAAAAGCCAAGTTTTTGTGTTCAGAAGAAACTTGTAACACCCTTATCTCTCCCGTGGCATTAAGTAATAAATGAATTTATTTATTCTTTTTCTAACGTTTTCTCCGTTTATTATTTTTCTCCACACCCTCTCACCACTTTACTTTCTAAATAGAGCATGAACATATATACATATATATTTTCAATCTAGAAAAGCCTTTATTACAATGGACACACCACAACTATTCTACCAATGATCAGTGCTCATTCTGTCTACAGCTTGTCAGCTTATCTCATCAACAACGTGCTTATCACTGTAAATTCAAATCAACATTCGTGAATTGGACAAAAATATATATCATATTAAAATAACAGTCAAAACTAACTTCTTAATATGTTTATGTCCGTTTTATTACACCGCAGCCAAACGCTCACAATACAATAAGTAAACTCTTAACAAATCATCAAGCGTCACAATTCAATATCACTATCAATACATTTCACAATACCTATCCACATCTCATCACACACTAAACAAAAACGGCACATCACACCTACAATTCTTATATACATCAACACTAATAACAACAATTACAGGTCGAGTGGAAGCGCACTAACATCTCCTTCATTCCACATCAGCATCATCAATCTACGCAACCACCAACATCACTAGTCACATCAACATTTCACATACACTCGCACAACAACCAATCATACACGTCCTCTCACTCTTAACCTACGCTTTCTCGTCACCGTAAACTATATCACGCTTCACTTATGAAAAATAAAATATCTACTCGTCTCACATTACTTCAACTATTCACGTGCACTACGCTTACACCATTCATTTTAGCTTCTTTAACCCATATTTCAATCACTGGTCGACCACAACCATTCTACCAATGATTAGTGCTCATTCTGTCTACAGCTTGTCAGCTTATCTCATCAACAACGTGCTTATCACTGTAAATTCAAATCAACATTCGTGAATTGGACAAAAATATATATCATATTAAAATAACAGTCAAAACTAACTTCTTAATATGTTTATGTCCGTTTTATTACACCGCAGCCAAACGCTCACAATACAATAAGTAAACTCTTAACAAATCATCAAGCGTCACAATTCAATATCACTATCAATACATTTCACAATACCTATCCACATCTCATCACACACTAAACAAAAACGGCACATCACACCTACAATTCTTATATACATCAACACTAATAACAACAATTACAGGTCGAGTGGAAGCGCACTAACATCTCCTTCATTCCACATCAGCATCATCAATCTACGCAACCACCAACATCACTAGTCACATCAACATTTCACATACACTCGCACAACAACCAATCATACACGTCCTCTCACTCTTAACCTACGCTTTCTCGTCACCGTAAACTATATCACGCTTCACTTATGAAAAATAAAATATCTACTCGTCTCACATTACTTCAACTATTCACGTGCACTACGCTTACACCATTCATTTTAGCTTCTTTAACCCATATTTCAATCACTGGTCGACCACAACCATTCTACCAATGATTAGTGCTCATTCTGTCTACAGCTTGTCAGCTTATCTCATCAACAACGTGCTTATCACTGTAAATTCAAATCAACATTCGTGAATTGGACAAAAATATATATCATAATAAAATAACAATCACAACGAACCTCTTAATATGTTTATGTCCGCTTTATTACACCGCAACCAAACGCTCACAATACAATAAGTAAACTCATTATAAATCATCAAGCGTCACAATTCAATATCACTATCAATACATTTCGCAATACCTATCCACATCTCATCACACACTGAACAACAACGCCTCATCACACTTACAATTCTTATATACATTAACACTAATAACAACAATTACAGGTCGAGTGGAAGCGCACTAACATCTCCTTCATTCCACATCAGCATCATCAATCTACGCAACCACCAACATCACTAGTCACATCAACATTTCACATACACTCGCACAACAACCAATCATACACGTCCTCTCACTCTTAACCTACGCTTTCTCGTCACCGTAAACTATATCACGCTTCACTTATGAAAAATAAAATATCTACTCGTCTCACATTACTTCAACTATTCACGTGCACTACGCTTACACCATTCATTTTAGCTTCTTTAACCCATATTTCAATCACTGGTCGACCACAACCATTCTACCAATGATTAGTGCTCATTCTGTCTACAGCTTGTCAGCTTTTCTCATCAACAACGTGCTTATCACTGTAAATTCAAATCAACATTCGTGAATTGGACAAAAATATATATCATATTAAAATAACAGTCAAAACTAACTTCTTAATATGTTTATGTCCGTTTTATTACACCGCAGCCAAACGCTCACAATACAATAAGTAAACTCTTAACAAATCATCAAGCGTCACAATTCAATATCACTATCAATACATTTCACAATACCTATCCACATCTCATCACACACTAAACAAAACGCCACATCACACCTACAATTCTTATATACATCAACACTAATAACAACAATTACAGGTCGAGTGGAAGCGCACTAACATCTCCTTCATTCCACATCAGCATCATCAATCTACGCAACCACCAACATCACTAGTCACATCAACATTTCACATACACTCGCACAACAACCAATCATACACGTCCTCTCACTCTTAACCTACGCTTTCTCGTCACCGTAAACTATATCACGCTTCACTTATGAAAAATAAAATATCTACTCGTCTCACATTACTTCAACTATTCACGTGCACTACGCTTACACCATTCATTTTAGCTTCTTTAACCCATATTTCAATCACTGGTCGACCACAACCATTCTACCAATGATTAGTGCTCATTCTGTCTACAGCTTGTCAGCTTTTCTCATCAACAACGTGCTTATCACTGTAAATTCAAATCAACATTCGTGAATTGGACAAAAATATATATCATATTAAAATAACAGTCAAAACTAACTTCTTAATATGTTTATGTCCGTTTTATTACACCGCAGCCAAACGCTCACAATACAATAAGTAAACTCTTAACAAATCATCAAGCGTCACAATTCAATATCACTATCAATACATTTCACAATACCTATCCACATCTCATCACACACTAAACAAAAACGCCACATCACACTTACAATTCTTATATACATCAACACTAATAACAACAATTACAGGTCGAGTGGAAGCGCACTAACATCTCCTTCATTCCACATCAGCATCATCAATCTACGCAACCACCAACATCACTAGTCACATCAACATTTCACATACACTCGCACAACAACCAATCATACACGTCCTCTCACTCTTAACCTACGCTTTCTCGTCACCGTAAACTATATCACGCTTCACTTATGAAAAATAAAATATCTACTCGTCTCACATTACTTCAACTATTCACGTGCACTACGCTTACACCATTCATTTTAGCTTCTTTAACCCATATTTCAATCACTGGTCGACCACAACCATTCTACCAATGATTAGTGCTCATTCTGTCTACAGCTTGTCAGCTTATCTCATCAACAACGTGCTTATCACTGTAAATTCAAATCAACATTCGTGAATTGGACAAAAATATATATCATATTAAAATAACAGTCAAAACTAACTTCTTAATATGTTTATGTCCGTTTTATTACACCGCAGCCAAACGCTCACAATACAATAAGTAAACTCTTAACAAATCATCAAGCGTCACAATTCAATATCACTATCAATACATTTCGCAATACCTATCCACATCTCATCACGCACTAAACAAAAACGCCACATCACACTTACAATTCTTATATACATCAACACTAATAACAACAATTACAGGTCGAGTGGAAGCGCACTAACATCTCCTTCATTCCACATCAGCATCATCAATCTACGCAACCACCAACATCACTAGTCACATCAACATTTCACATACACTCGCACAACAACCAATCATACACGTCCTCTCACTCTTAACCTACGCTTTCTCGTCACCGTAAACTATATCACGCTTCACTTATGAAAAATAAAATATCTACTCGTCTCACATTACTTCAACTATTCACGTGCACTACGCTTACACCATTCATTTTAGCTTCTTTAACCCATATTTCAATCACTGGTCGACCACAACCATTCTACCAATGATTAGTGCTCATTCTGTCTACAGCTTGTCAGCTTATCTCATCAACAACGTGCTTATCACTGTAAATTCAAATCAACATT